TTTGAAGGAGGAGAAACTTTTAACTCACGTTCCAATCTAGCTAATTCTTGTTGCAACTGCTTCACTAATGCTTTATCTGACATCACTACATTAACTTGTGCATTTGTGTTAACATCTTTAGCACAAGAACCAAAAAGAAGGGTGTTTCTTGATTGTTCAGCATGACTATGTGCAGGGCACACAGTGCATAGTATTGCAGTTCTTGCATTGCCTCCAAGAGAGTTTTGTAGTATGCGTGTTAGCTTCGAGTTTCTATAAGGCACATGCCCATTTCCTCCTTTACTGCATCCAAAATCATAAAACTTATCAGACAGACAGACAGACGGACACAACCCCTCAGCTGACCCACACTGTCCTACGCCAAGTCCATCATGTGAGAAAGACCCTTACTATGCTACACCCTTTGGGGTAATTGTGTCATTTCTACGAAAAGATTATTTTTCAAACAAACCCTAGATGGCCCATATGTCAGGTGAGATGTAAATCAAGCACACAGACCACTAGGTGACTGACGTAAGACCAGTGGGACCAACTTTGTTATGGCTTAGGGGCACTTTTGTCATTTCAGGAATTCCAAAAAGAAAAAATAAAAGTAGAAATTAGAAAGTGGAGACCTCAGTTTACGAATAACAGTTCCTAGTGTTAGCAAACTGCGATTAATGTGACAGCCTTCTTTGAGTCGAGTGCCAGCTGCTAATGTTTGAGAAGCACGCTCACTTCCAGCTAAATCTACAAAACTCTGCATAGCAAACCATTTTTTTATTTAATCTTTTGGTCATTTTAATATCTATAAAAATAAAATCAATAAAATATATAAGGTAATGGTTATTAGAAGAGAAAAAAAACATCCATATTGCATACCACAGTAGCTGAAAGAGTTCTTCCACTATCACCTCCTCTATAATCAAGGGCTGAACTTTCAACTGTCTGAAAGATTTAATTTCTTGTGAATGATTAAGATTAATCTAAATTGTATTCTTATTCATGTTTATAAAAGTTATTTTAAGAAAAGAATATATACCAGTCGTAAAATCTGATGAGATCTTGAACTCATTTCATTCAATGCAGTCTCCCCGATTTGTCTCTCAGCTATATTTTACATCTTCCATTATATTATCAAACATATTTTTGTGTAATGAGTAAAGAACATGAATGGTATTTTTAGTATTTACCTTCTGACACATAGATAAGTTCCTTTAAATGGTTGCAGTCTCTCAAATTAGCTTCTGTTAGTTTTTCTACAACTGTCCCTTTCTAAAGAACAAGCCACAAAGATTAATGAATTAACACTTTTTGATTAATTGGAGAAATGACAATTCTAACCTCTGGGTCATCAAGGAGTCTAAGTTGGGTTCCATCTGAACTGAGAAGATCTTTGACACATTCATTGTAGATTTCTATGGCGGAAAATTTCAACACAAATTCTCTATCATTATGCTGAAACATAAAAATCCATGTTTAGAAGGGAATGGGTGTTAAGAATATAAAAAAATTTCAACAATTACCCTGTTTATGTAGTCATATATATCTGCTATTGCAAATTCAGTAATTCCAGACATGGTGTATGTCTTCCCACTGCTTGTCTGCCCATAGGCAAATATACTTGCTGGAGTAACAGTTATTGAATTAAGACATGATAGTTGATATATCATATAAAAATATAATGATATAGAATGTGATAACATGAGAAAGATGCTTACAATTAATGCCATTAAGAACAGAAAGAGCAATTGCTTTGACTCCATCATCATACAGTTGTTTTGTTGTACTATCAAACCCGTATACTCGGTCTATTTCAAGAACATTCATCAATCAGGAATAAAATAAAAAAGAGGGAAATGTATTATAATTTATAAGACAGATAGTATACAGATGGATTACCAAAAGTAAAGGCGTTTGGGTACATGGGTCGATCTGATTGGTTGCTCTTGTATATGATAGTGGTTTTGTTTATGCATTCCCAATCAGATAAATCGTTTTTTGCAATTTCTTTTTCGTTTAAAGGCCTAAGTCTCACTGCAACGAAGATCTTCTCTTCATGTGCAGGTGACTCTTGTTCATCATCTAATTCATACTCATCTCCAGAAATTGACTCCATCATCTTGTCTTGATGAGATTAAATGCAGTGAAAGAAGATTAAAAGGATAAAGAACCAGATAAAAAGATCACAAACCAATCACTTTTTCTCCTGATGACATGAAGAGTGATAAAATTTGCAGAACCTGATGGCTCTGGTTTTATCCTAAATCATTTCACCACAACATCTGTAAAAGAACAGAAAAAGAAAATCAACATACATATCTAATATTCTATAATATTGGCTACAATTTACAAATCTTATAGACTTTCTACATTTAGGAGCTTCATGACTTAGTAGCCAATGTTTGTGAATGATTCTGTTGAGTTTCGATTCTATCTCCCACATGTTTTAGATTTGCGCAGATCAATTACACAAGCTTTAGCTATTTGTTTCAGAACACAAAAAACCTGAATAGCGTATTCAGTGCTTACCTTGAATACGAATCCGTCATTCAAATTCAAGCCATATACTATGCAACAGCGCATTTCATATATGATCATAATACACAATTTCCAATGGATTCAATAATGCACAAAGATCAACACAGCTGCAGTTAGATTTCTCATATAAACCCTAGCTTAATTAAAACTTTTAAGCATCGACATTGAAATTAGAATCATCAGCAGAAGAATCCAGAATCAGAAAATCGCCACGACGATGAAAGTTAGTTGGGTCATAAATTTGGAAAATCAACGAGGCTCAAACTCCATCTACAGAACAACGATTTTAAAGAAAAAACCTCCTATACTGACCATCGCGTGCAATAAAATCGATTTACCTACCTTAAAACTATTCAGATAAAGCTTACTAATCTATCAAACAAAGCCATGAATTCAATTACGAAAACTAGTTTTATTCATATAACATAAAAAGCTGCAAGAACAATATATCTCACCTCATTATAATCGACTCAGCGAACAAATAACGCGCACACTATAGCGATCTTCAAACCGATCAAAACTGCAAATCCAATTAAAATCAACCCCATTGACGTGATCGTAGAGAGAGAAAATGCTGCAGATTAGGATGTAGAACCGAATGAATGAATCAGAGAATTTCGAACGCAGCCTGTTGATACCGATAGCATCTACCAATACAAAGGGATTTTGGAAAATTTTAGTCCGTGCATGTTGGACTTCTATGGACCTTTGAAAATAAACCGCCAATTTTCAACGACTAACTGGAAATGAAGATATTTTCGAGCTTGAGAAATCAATTTGCATCAACACTCCTTGAGCTTTACAAAAGTTACGTATTAGAGTAAACTGCTGTTTTGGTCCCTTTGGTTTTCTGTTTGTAACGCCTTTAGTCCATAAATTTCATTTATTGAACTCTTAGTCCCTAACTCATAGCTTGGTTGCATTCTTGGTCCCTCACCCTAACTGCCGTTAAGTTGGAACCGTTAAGACTCTTTTTTTGTGCCATGTAGTAAGGTAATTTGACTTTTTCATATTAAGTCCTTTGATTTCCCTGTTCGATTTGATCACATTTACCTACAGAACTAACAAACCAAAAAACACACATGCATGACGCGTACATAAAAACACAAATAGCATACATAAATATTGATATCAAGAACACACATAAAGTATTATGTTGCCCATGAGAAACATCAAACATGTTTAAAAAAAATTGACATAATTAGTTAATAAACAAAGGAGATGAAAAAAATAGTCTAACGTATATTAATTTTTTATTTTCTGACTGCTAAGAACCACCAACACTAATAATAAAAAATATTCATCCGAATCGTTTAAACTTATATTATATCAAGAAGAGAAGAAAAGGTGAGATGGATAAAATGGAAAGGAAAACCAAAAGAAAAAACGTATTGAATTTTTTTTTTCTCAAAAATCAGCTAATAGGTTTTATAACTTTTTTACACAACAATATTTTATAAGGTATTATCATTTAAAATGTATGGATTTTTGCAGTCAAAACGACAAGACAATACATGTTTTAGAAAAACGTTTTTGAATGATTTCACTTTTAGCATATGGTCATTTGCAAAAATTAAGGCTATTGGTAATTTTTCACTTTTGTGGTAAAAAGTTCTATTGGACCGCAGGGTGTGGGAGGAATGTTTCCTTCACTTTTTGTGGGCCACATCACTTTTTCTTTCACTTTTCTTTTCCTCACCTAAAACTTAAAGAATGGGTAGAAAGCTTCCCTCACTATATTTTTCTATTTTTTTTAAAATATATTTCATAAATATATTATACTCATTTTGTAGGGAATTAAAAACCATGAATTTTAATATATTTTTTATATTTTTTTGATAGGTGTATAATTTTATAAATATTAAAAAGGATAAAAAGAAAAAAAAATTGTCCAATAGCATGAAGAGAGAGAGAGTGCGGCACTCCCTCCCCCCACCTCTTTCCCGCGGGATGTTTCCCTCACCTAAGGAGTGGTGTTCAAGAGTGAGGAAAGCTTCCCTCATTCCCTTTCCCGCTCCCACTCCGTGCAACCTTATAAACCATTTTCTCAAAAACAAAATTGCCTGCACCAAAAAGAATTGGGTTCATACCCGCACCCAGTTGGACGGTGAAGAAAAATGATGAATATAGGAAAGGAGAAGGGGAGTGTTTGTAGGGTGTTGGGACCATTTATTTAAAAATGAGAATGTGATTATAATAGCTTTTTTATCTACAAAATAGCTAAGAAAATGGGAAAATGACAGAAATAGTAAAAATCTACGAACAAACTGGAAACCTAATTACCCTCCTAAGTCATTAACAACCATATTGGTTTAATACACACAAAAAAATCTTAGTGACCTAATATGAACAAACTGGAAACCTAATTACCCTCCTAAGTCATTAACCCTAATTATTTAGAAAACATGCTTACTAATCAATATGACTTACTTGTTTGACTGGAAATAGCTGCTTCCATTTAAACTTATCTCACAACCCTTCCAAAACTTTTAAGTCCACAAACTCATATGATTGATGATCTTCATTACATAAATATGCAACATTTTATCAATAACTTATTTTTTGTCATTTAAATGTTTACATGAACACATCCATATGTACAAATACAATTTCACTTTGATACCTCCCATTAATGTCTACATTTGATAACGAATGGAAATGTAAAACCAATAGGGACTTGCAGAGGATGCCTATTATCAATTATTTTATAAAAAGTAAAACCACAACATGAACTAAGAAACTGAAGTTGCAAAATTAATCAAAAATCAACACATGAACAAACACATACAGACTATATACAACACATAAACGGAAGTTTATAAAGCATGAAACTTAATGATAGGAAAAGTAAAAAACTTAAAGGAGACTTTATAAAAAGAAAGATCACCCTTACTTGCCACAAATGGTTGAAGACATCAACAAGAAGATCAATGGAATCCACATGTTGTCTGATCATAACTTTAGTAGATGAACTACTAAAACGTAAGAATAGCAATTAAACTCTATTTGCATTTGAAAATGGAATTAGGGTTCCAGAGAAGACGACGAAGGGTTTAAAATTTTTTTTGGACCATTTCTCGATTTGTGTGTGTTATCCTTACGCAGGGGCCATGTTAATATTCTCTGTATTGTTCCAATTTTATCGGATGTCCCCAAAGGGACAACCATAGATGAAGAGCTTCACCATAGAGCGGAGTAGCAGATTATATGGGACAATGCGAGTTCTAAACGAACTAGTTTACTGGTGATGGTCATATATTCTTAATGTCTTTAAATTTAGGGTTAATGACTTAGGAGGGTAATTAGGTTTCCAGTTTGTCCATATTAGGTCACTAAGTTTTTTTTTTTGTACGTATTAGACCAATATGGTTGTTATTACCGTTTACAAATAGTCATTTTTACCGATTAAAACTGGTAAAATGACTATTTCTAAATGGTAATAACAATCATATTTGTCTAATACACACAAAAAAAAACCTTAGTGAGCTAATACAGATAAACTGGAAACCTAATTACCCTCCTAAATCATTACCCCTTTTTGTTTTTGGGCTTTTCGTATGTCAACACTAGCAAAAATCTGGGTGGCCTTCGATTTAAAAAAAAAAAAAATCGTATGTTCACACTAGCAAAAATAAAAATCCAGGTGGCCTACATAACTTTTTTATTTTTTATTTTTTACTTTTTACTTTTATTATTATTATTATTATTTTTGAAAATTTTGCAGATTGCCTTTATAGTTTTGAAAGTCTTAACAGTGATGATTGTTATGAAGTTTGTATGCGAAAATAAGAAATGTTTTTTTTTTTTCATAATTTTCATCGAATAACCTACTTTTGTGCTAAAATTTATGAATTCTCAATCTCCAAACTGGAAATGTAATATGTATACAAACGAACCTTATTACAAATAACACAATGAAAAAAAAATTCAACTCAAATATAGTTAGTATGCGAAATGAATGAAGGATAAAAAGTTTAGGATTTTCTTTTTCATATTTTCCACTGGATACCCTACTTTGAAGCTAAAAAATATGACTTCACTACATTCAAATTTGGGGTGTAATATGTCAATGAAAAACTCGTTTGAGTTGATTTTTTTTTTTGCATTATGTTCTTTGTAACAATGGTCATCTATCAACGTATTATATCATTTGGGTTCTCCTAATCATAAAGATAGCCCGTAAAAATTTAAAAAAAAATAATAAAGAAAGAAATTTTTTTTTGCATGTCATTTACATTTTCATTAGTATGGAAATCAAAAAAAATCTTGTAACGCCCAATGATTCCAAGGTATTACTTATTTATTTAATCATTTATTTATTGTTTTAATCATTAAAGTTGTCGTTGGGCTTAAAAGACTTGGGCTTCCATGAATGTGCTTGTTGAGGTAGTACGTTGGGCGTAAGCCTGGTGTACTCAGGGCGTAAGTGAATCACTAAGGACCGTGGAGCATGCACGTACGTTTAACGTACGAAGTGGTACGCACAACATACATGGTCAGATCCCAAAAACCCTAATTTTAGGGTGCAAGCCATATATAATGTCATTATGTCCCATGTGTTAGCCTCCTTATCAACCTCTTATTTTCAGAAACCCTAAAATCGAGTCCTATATTCCATTGTTGAATGTGTGAGCTTTTGGAAAGCTTTTGGTGTTCATCTTTGTGCATTTTGAAGGATTTGAAGAAGCTAGAAGTTGCTTAGCCTGAAGAGGAGGTCTTGGATCCATAAACTCTACCCATTTTGCAAGAAGTTTGAGGTGATCAAGTTCTTATCTTGATTGCTAAATGTTTAGATCTCCTTTTTGGTTAAATAGTTATGTTTTTAGCTAATGTTTGGATGGATGTTGGGATTAGGACGTCCGAAAGGCTTATTCTTTCAGATCCAAGGTCTTCATGGACTCCTTTGGCATAAAGGTGCCAACTTTATGGAGTTAGAGGCTTCATGCATCCATTAAGTCCTTCATTAGGTACTTTTTGAGCTTTTGAGCTTCTTATGGTCATGCATGGACATAAAGTTAGCAACTTTACGTGACATTTCAACTTAGAGGGGTCATATATGCATTCTGGAGCAAAGTCTTAACATATTAGGAGCTTCATCTCAAAGTTGGCTGAATTGGTTGAGTATGTTGGGTGTATATGAATTTTTGCACTTCTACTCTGGAACTCGACGAGTTGGAGGCCCTAACTCGTTGAGTGGAGGCTAAATTTGGACGCGGGTGAAAGGTTCTACTCGCTGAGTCGGAATCCCCGACTCGATAAGTAGACCTGTCTGGATGAAACCCTGAATTTGAGAGAATGCACCCTATTTAAACACATTAAGTGGCCTCCATTCCAGCCTCCATCACCCTCAGACCCCATTCTCGAAACCCTAATCATTTGTGAGTGTTCTTGAGCTATTTTGGTGTCATTTTTGTGATTTGAAGCTTAGAGAAGGAAGGAAAGGCTTGGTGGTTCAAGAAGAAGACATTAGATCCAAAGTCTTGGTTGCATTTCCAACTTGTTTGAGGTAAAAATCTTCAACCTTGATTTCCCATTTGTTAGATCTTCTTTAGGGCTTGAATCTTGTCATTTTTGGGGCATTTCTAAGTCACCCTCGGGTTTAGAGCATAATGTAGAGTGTTCACTTCAGATCTTGAACCTTGGAGGGTTCTCATGGCATA